CATGTGCCAGCTCTTACTGACTATTGATGACTCCACTTGGATGTCTTAAAGGCATCTCAAACGTAACACATCCAAGACAGGAAGCATCAAACAAAGTATTCTCCACCCGGCCGGGTGGCTCAGTGGTTGAGCGTGAACCCATGAAGCAGGAGATTGCGGTCGGGGCAGATGCCAGGGTTTCCGGCTCGATCCCCACTAGGCGGCGTGCAGGAGGCTGCTGATCAATGACACTCTCTCATCATGGATGTTTCTCCCTCTCCCTTCCTCTTTCTGAAATCAATACAAACATATTTAAAAAAATTTTTTTTCAAGGGCAGAGACCATGCTCATCTCATTTACCACTGCAGCATCCCCTGGGCCTAGCACAGCGCTTGGCAAGTGTTCCATAAATGTTTGTTGAACGAATGGCTACAACCTTTTCTAAAAGAGAAATGTCGTTTTTATTGAAAAAAATAGAGTGGCATTGCCTTGCCCTGCCCAGAATGAGACTGTTGATTCTTGTAACTATAAGACATTGATTCCTTTCCACCCCAATAAATTCAATAAATAAAAAATTAAATTAAATTTAAAAAAAGAAAAGAAGACATTGATTCCCTTGGTGGAATATGACAGGCTGTTTTCAAGTCCTGGAATTAGCTATACCTTGCTAATGGGCACAGAACTATGAACTCTGACAGATTTCTGGAGCACGAAACCTGTTTAAATTCCAGATGAACAGGAAGTGAAGAAATTGTACTTCCCATCCTTAAAATCGTATTGTTCTAAATCTTGGCCTGAAAATGAAGGTCACAGAAACAACTAAGAATGATTTTAACATTTGTGCTGGTTGGTGTGGCTTTTGGCCGGCCTGGGCAAGGGCCATGTAGTAGGGATAGGGCTGAATTTCAGTTGAAGTGGCATTAACTGGACTGGCCCATGGGCTAAGGAGTCATTTTCTCCCCTACAATTCTAAAATCTTTCTGCTAGACAAGGTCAAAATTATCTCTGGGAAGGAAAGAGGGCATACATTTGGCCAAATCTGAGCCCTTTCTATCCTTCCACTTGATATTAGCAAAGTAGCCTGGCCGGGCGTGGCTCAGCAGTTGAGCGTCGACCTAGGATCCAGGTGATCGGGGTTCGATTCCCGGTCAGGGCACATGCCTGCGTTGCAGGCTCGATCAATGACTCTCTCATCATTGATGTTTCTCTCTCTCTCTCTCTCCCTCTCCTTTCCTCTCTCTGAAATCAATAAAGATATATTTTTTTAAAAAAATGATATTAGCAAAGTAAACCACAAAATTATAGCCAAGGTGGGGTCCTAAACCTGGGTACAAACACTGCTCCTCCTAGACCGTAACGGATGGGAATGGATGAGGGGCACTAGTGGGGGAATCACTCTTCTGTCACTTGGTGGAGCCTGATACTGGTCCAGCAAAGAATGGTGTGGACATCATGGCGAACCTCACACCATCCATGCCTCCCCTCCCCAGCGCAAGGAAGCAATGCCATCAAGGTCCAGGGGAAGACCATGGAGTTCAAGGCTAAGCCAACCGCAGAAAGCCTACCTCCTTTGAGAGTGATTGATTTTAAGGGACGAGCAGGTTTAAATGAATCTGAGTCGGCCAAGGAGATACGAGAAGTTTGGGGGGGGGCTGCTGAGAAGAGGCTTGATTTTAACAAAGCCGGGGAGTAGAGGGGTGAAGAGGTGGGGTCCTTGATGACACCACTGATTCACTGCACCCATGAACCCTGAGTCTCGCCTGCCCTCTGGCTGCACTTCTGGCATAAATGTCCTTACTGTTTAAAACACATGGNTATAGCCAAGGTGGGGTCCTAAACCTGGGTACAAACACTGCTCCTCCTAGACCGTAACGGATGGGAATGGATGAGGGGCACTAGTGGGGGAATCACTCTTCTGTCACTTGGTGGAGCCTGATACTGGTCCAGCAAAGAATGGTGTGGACATCATGGCGAACCTCACACCATCCATGCCTCCCCTCCCCAGCGCAAGGAAGCAATGCCATCAAGGTCCAGGGGAAGACCATGGAGTTCAAGGCTAAGCCAACCGCAGAAAGCCTACCTCCTTTGAGAGTGATTGATTTTAAGGGACGAGCAGGTTTAAATGAATCTGAGTCGGCCAAGGAGATACGAGAAGTTTGGGGGGGGGCTGCTGAGAAGAGGCTTGATTTTAACAAAGCCGGGGAGTAGAGGGGTGAAGAGGTGGGGTCCTTGATGACACCACTGATTCACTGCACCCATGAACCCTGAGTCTCGCCTGCCCTCTGGCTGCACTTCTGGCATAAATGTCCTTAGTGGAGCTTCCTGCTACAGGCACTAAAACCAAGGGACTCTTGTCCGCTTGAGCAGCTTATTGGCCTTTTCCAGCCCGTCTGAGGGCACAAGACAAGCTAATTGTGGCTCGGTCCTGAGCGTGCTTAACGAACGTTAAATAAATTACTTGTACTGCGTGAGCACCGTTCTCGCAACCAGAACGGCGTGGCCGGGGGCTCAGGTCTGCCTTGGTGACACCGATACTTTCAGCCGCACTCTTATACAGCCTATTAAGCGAAACTTTGGTCCCCAAGAATCTTACCTTCTTGAAGAAGGGAAGTTAGGGCTGCGCTTCCGAGAGCTGGGACAAAGACCACGGGGCCCCTCAGCCCTGCCCTTCCGTGCTGGGTCGCAGAGGGAGAGATGCCAGCGAGGCCGCCAAAATCTGAGGGTCTTAGTTGTGCTCGCTGATTTCCCACAACGCTGTTTCCTTGAGCTCCTGAGGCAGGCTGAATAGGACCAAATGATTTTTCCCCCCAAATCTCCTTTTTCTCATAACTCACACACACACACTTTGTAACTGTGTGCTGATGGAGGTCAACTAGACTTACAGTGGCGACCATTATGCAACATACAGATATCGAAACACTATTCTGTACACCTGAAACCAAGAGGTTATATGCCAATTGTACCTAAAAAAATCAAAATAAATCCTGAAAACAAAACAAAACACAGCATCCCCGCTCCCTTGACTGATTTGGGTTTCTCAGTCCCCCCTGCTAGCCTTTAGGACAATTGTTTTCACGGACAGATTGGTCGCAAGCACGCCTCACCCTGAAGTATTTGTAGAGGAAGTTACGCATCTGGGATTTGCTTCAAAGGTTCCAGCAAAACAAAAGCAAGGGAGGGCGCAGATGGAGCGAGACCGGCAGGACTTACGGCGGACGCTGCGTGGTGGCTTCACAGGGGTTCGTTCTACTATCACTAGTTTTGCTCATGTTCTGTATTTTCCTTAATGTTTGAAAACGTCATTTTTTGTCCTGTTACCTATTAGTTCAAACAGTTTAACTTGAGTTGCTGCCCCTGGAACAGCCTCGGGCCCGGTTGCCCGTCCTGCAGGGCCCAAGGGGACAGGGCACTGATTTTTCGGAGCCGTCAGGAGTGGTCCTGGAGAGCCCTTGCTGGTGCTCAGAACACAGCATTTTCTTCTCCCCTAGCTGTGGGCAACCTGCCCCAGGGGCTGTCTCCTACTCGTGCCTCCCCTTGGCACTTCATGTCATGGTAATGTTGCAAGACGTACTTCCAGGCCATGCAGAAGGGAAGGGACAGGTGACAGCTCAGAGCGGTGAGAAGCCAGTGTGAGTGCCAACCCTCCGTCAGGTAGACAACGTGTCACAGCTGGAAGGGGCCTCAGAGATCATCAAATTACTTTAGAGAAAGGGACAGAGAGTCAAGTGACTCTCTCTGCAACCACCTGACAGGCATGCCTGGCACGAAGGCCCACCTCCCGGCTGCCTCACTGGCACCGTTCCTGCATGCTGGCATCATGGGACTAGATGGGCATGGGGGCCTTTCCTTTCCTTTTTTGCTGCGTGTGAACTACAGCTCATGTCGCCCCCTCCCTCTGGGCTGTCGCTGCCCTAGTTCTAAGGTATTGCTAACATTGGGCGAGTTCGACTGGGCCCTTCTGGGTGGACTGAACACATCGGCCATCGCCATCGGACTATCATGCTGTTGAGTTTTATCTACTTGGACTCATCCACTTAGGGCAGGTGAAAATTTCAAGGTTTGGCTAGAAAGTTCTTTGAAAAGTAACACATCACGTAGAGTGTGGAGGGATTAAGAGCAGAGGCTCTGAGACAAACTGCTCATTCAAGCCTGTTTTGCCACTGACACCAGTCACCTAAGTGTGCCCAGTTCATGAAACGAGGCCCTCATTAGCTCATGCCCAGCACACAGCAAGTGCTCAGTAAGTGTTGGCATTATGAAGCTCAAATAGCGCCATAGGTAAACGAGGTGGAGGTTTCAGGGATGGACCTGTTCGTGCCACAGGGCACATTTTAGATCAAGAGGCCTTCGGACAGTTAGGAAAATGGCAAAGGAATGGAAGTCCCGTGGCACCCAGAAATAAGTGTTAAAGGAGCTCATTTCATAATACAGTGACTTCTGGGCTCCCAGAGAAGTGACTCAGAGGTTGGGGTGGAAGACAACAGCCTTCAAATTAGGGTGCTTTCTTCTACCCAGTGGTGAGATCCTCACATGGCAGAACAAGCAGCCTCTGATGCAAGATGAGCCGAAATCACTCCTTTGCTTCAATCTCTATACCCTCATCACCAAGGAGAACCCACGTGTGGTGGTTTTTCTTTGAGTTTCCATAATGTGACGGTTATTTTGTTAGAAACATTATATACACCCAAACAGTTAAACAATACAAATGCACAAAATGCAGCTTCTGCTGAGCATGCTCCTTTAAGTTACCTACAGTATCCCTCCTCTTAATTTCCTTGGCTAAGGAGACTGGTCTAGGCTTTTCTCACACTGCGCCTTGATCATTAGGGGATACCGAGTTCTGGCGGTTGGAAATCTGACATGAAGGTGCCAGCATGGTTGGGCAGGGCCCCTCTTTGGGGGTTGCAGACTACTAGTTGTATCCCCACATGGTGGAAGAGCCCCTCCTCTTATCTAAAAGGTTTGCTGTAGGGGGGAATGGCTCAGCATGGAATCTAGATGGCTGCCCTCTGGCTCTATACCTCGAGCCAGCGTCTCTGGATTCTCCTCACCCAGCTCTGGTCCACTCTGCTCTCCCTCCGCCTGAGCCCAAGGTGGTGATGCTTGATGAACCATCATCCGGCATGGACCCCAGCTCAAGAAGAGCCACCTGGGATCCCCTTCAGCAGTATAAACAGGATCGTACCATCTCAGTGACCAGCTACTACATGGATGAAGCTGACATCCTGGGTGACTTTATTTTGTTAGAAACATTATATACACCCCAAAAGTTAACAATACAAATGCACAAAGTGCAGCTTCTGCATTGCCATCATGGTCAAGGGAACTCTGCAGTGCTGTGGCTCTTCAGTCTTCCTGAAACAAATATATGGTCTATCTCCCTTTGATCATTCTTAGGATATTAATGCCTTAATAATATTCTTCTAACATGATTTTAATTATATTTTATCTATTACCACCCACCCTCCAAAATAAAAATTTAAAAAAACGTTTGCTGTTCCCAGTTGTCCATGAAACAGGTAAACAACAGCAAAAATCTCTCCATGTGCTGTACGTTCAACTGAGTAAAGCTGATGGAGCTGCCAGGAAAGGACTTACTGCAAGTTTGTTTGCAGCGTTTACATGATACCATGTGAGGGGTAAAGGAGTACGACACATAAAATCACCAGCATTGAAAAAACAAAATGCCAGCTTTACACATTTCCCAAACTCTCACTTTACAAAAGCAAATTATGAGAAAGGCATGGTACAGGAAAAACAATGGCATATTTCCTTCTTCCTCCATGGAGGTCACAGCAGTTATGAATATTTATTCCCCTGTGAAATTCATTGTTCTAATATCCATTATCTAAAAAGGAAGTTTTGTCCTTGGAAACACCCAGAACTGTGCTATTATGCTGTGGCATTAGCAGCATCCTTGGTACTGGGACAAAAAGTCAAGGAGCTCGTTTAATGTACAAAGTTGTTGATCCATAAATAGCACAACAAAGGACCATTTCACCATCACCAGCTCTCCTGGGAGGGTCCCCACGTGCCTTACCCAGTGAGGTCTGAGGTCAATGTATTCATAGCTGAGTAGGGTATGGGCACTTCTAGGTAGCAAGGCAACAGAGTATGAGAGACATTTCTAGCATTGGAACCTTTCTGCAGCTCACATGATACTTCAGATGAACTAACTGTAGTTTTCCAGGAAAAGAAATCAAAGTTAAATTTTGATAGTTTCATCTGCTTCTAGATCATTATTTTTCAGTATTGCTCCAATTCTTTTTAATCATTTTTTTCAATTACATTTGACATACATTATTATATTAGCTTCAGGTGTACACCCCAGTGATTTGACATTATATAACTTAGTAAGTGATCGTCTCCATAAATCTCACACCCATCTGACACTATACACAGTTATTAGAATATTGACTATATTCCTTATGCTGTATTTACAGCCCTGTGACTATTCTGTAACAATGAATTTGTACTTCCTAATCCCTTCCCCCTTTTCACCCATTCCCCAAATCCCCTCCCATCTGGCAACTGTCAAAATGTTCTATCTATGAGTCTGTTTCTGTTCTGCTTGTTCATTTATTTTGTTTTAGATTCAGTTGTTGATAGATATGTATTTATTACCATTTTGTTATTCATATTTATGACCTTTATTTTCCTTCTTCTTAAAGAAGACCCTTCAACATTTCATGTAATACTGGTTTGGTGGTGATGAACTCCTTTAGCTTTTTCTTGTCTGGGAAGCTCTTTACATGTCCTTCCATTCTAAATGATAGCTTTGCTGGCTAGAGTAATCTTGGTGGTAGGTTCTTGCTTTTCATGACTTTGAGTATTTCTTGCCACTCTCTTCTGGCCTGCAAAGTTTCTGTTGAGAAATTAGTGACAGTCTTATGGGAGCTCCCTTGTACGGTAACTAACTGCTTTTATCTTGCTGCTTTTAAGGTTCTCTTTGTCTTTAACCTTTTGTATTTTAATTATGATGCATCTTGGTGTGGGTCTGTACTGCTCCAACTCTTAAACTCCACAAAGCCAAGGAGGGAGAATAATGACTCTCATTTATATGATCTGAGATTCTAACTTTTCATTCAATTCAGCAGATAGAGAAAAAAAACTACTCAGTGCCAGGCTTTGCACCCCTTACCTCTTCAAGAAGTTGACCTGTTAATGTTAATAATAATGTCAGGAGCCATAGGATGTACATTTGCTAGCTTTATTTAACATTTTCCTTTGTAAACTGAGGATTCAGATCTGACTATACAGTTTCACAGTTATAAGTATTTTTTTTCTTCTGCAGTTATAAATCCTTCATCTAGAATGGTGTAGGTATGAAATATAAATTGCAAAAGGTAAATTATTCTGTTTTCATTAGAAATGTAACTTTAGTCCTGTTTCTATCACAGAATGATTTTCATAAAACATAAACCTATAAAAAACTATTTCTGGTCTTTTTGCTTCACCAATTGGTAAAACTTCCACAAAATTTTAATCAGCATCAGGTCATATAACAAACTTGTATTTTTAATATAAACCTATGACTTTATTATTTGGGAGTTCTGCTTTGGTTAAAGTCCATACAAAAGGATAAGAAGAGAAAAAGTGTTAAAAAAAAAAAGAGAGAGACCCTTTTTCTGCTTAAATTCACAAAAGGCAGATAGATTCACAGTGGGCTGGCACAGAAACAGCAGGGCTCTTCAGAACCTCAAGCTTTAGACGGAGATGACCGCTTCCACATGCCACTCATCAGTGCCCCAAATCCTGAGCTGAAACCACTGGTCACCCAGCGGGGCATTTTTCATGTCTCTAGGGTATCGGTTTGTCTTTTGATTACTAAGCTATCAATAAAGTCTTAGAGCACTGACATTTAATAATATTCTTGAATAAGACACCTCATTCTCTGTGGTTCTCTCTGTTCCCGGTAGTGTGATATCATCTTTGAAGTTGTTCCTGAAGATAAAACGATGGCGGATGGCTGGGGTTAGAACATGAGCTACAGCAGGGCTGTGCTAAGAGAACCGTGTAAAACGCGTGAAGCAGAGACTCTGTCTGGTGGGCATCGAAGGCACCTGTGTGCCTTTGCAAACATTCCAGGGCTTAGACCCCACACCCTGCCTCCAGGGGTGGAGCTCTAGGCAGGTGTGTCTTGGCAAAGCTTAACCATCCATCCTGATGTGTGCCAGAGAGAATGAACAATGGGCCCAAAGTTTCTGTGAGGCACATTCCCAGCCTGTTTTTGCACAGCTGGAGATGACGGATTGGTTGTGCCTTTAGCAAGATGGCCATTTTAAGAATAACTTCTTCAGCCACCCTGAGTGAAGATGGCCTGGAAATAGGCATGTGTAAATGTCAGTTCCCTTCATGATTAAACAGTCTTCTGGTTTTAGTGCTGCTAATCTCTTGTTTTAAAGATAAAAGGATTTGTACATTCTTTAAAAAAATCATAATATTGAAAACATTCATCTTCCCAACTTCTGACAAAAAGAAAAAAAATAAACCTGAGTTTAATTCACTACCGTTACCAAACTTTCAAGCTTTACTTTGTTATGAAACAGGATCATAACTCCTTTCCCCAGTTACTAACGCACAGACTGTTTCAGACTCCCATAGGAGACGTCCCAAGTTTCACGCTGTAGCAGTTTTTGAGTTCGTGTCTACAGTGTTTCTCTGCAGAGGAGCCAGGATGACTCCAACATTCCTCTCCTCGCTCTCGGCACTATACAAATCATGCTTTTCGATATACTCTTGGACAAGATCTGGCACCAAGTAGCGAATGCTCTGGCCCCTTCGGAGGGCTCTCCGGATCTTCGTGGATGAGATGTCGTTGGTGATCCACTCATTCACCAGGTGAATGTTGGTCTGGTGTTTCCACAGAACGTCGGACTCATAGATGAACTTCTGAGCATCATTTCCAGCCCGGGTGATGCACACGAGCCCATAGTCCCCCACGATTTTGGCGATGTCCTCACTCTTCCACAGGTTGGGGACACCGAAGGACTCCAGCAGATCTGCCCCACACAGCAGCTTGACCTTTGGCACATCTGAGGAGAAGAAAGCACTGCTTCAGGGTTTGCTTCTTAATAACTCCCTGCGTGAAAATGAATGTGTGGGCATGTTTTTCTGGAAAGAAGGTTCGTAGTTTTTATCAGATTCTCAAGAGAAACCTAGGACACCTGAAAACTAAGGCCTAGTGCAGGCCTTTCACTCCCCCTCCCTGTCAGCAAACACACAGGGCATTTTCCAGGCACCCACAGGTACTCAATGGAAAATAAAAGCAGAAAGGGGGCTTGCTCAGCTCTAGAATCTTATCCCCCAGTCGGTAAGTCCTGGTAAAACATGCAGACCTTTTCTTTTTGGCTCTAGGGATTTCTTCTGACTAAGTTCTGATCTTTGTTCAGTGTACTTCCTCTTCCGTCCAGGCCTCTCCAGCACAGGGGAGTCCTGCTGCTGATCACAGCCACTAGCCTCCAGCTTCTCTTGGTGGTGTCTATAAAACAACAAAGCAACAGAACATTCCTCTTTCTCACAGGGCTCAACTAAAGCATCATCCCTTTGCAGATGCCCAAGAGCCTCCAATCCAGTGTTAAAGGTGGGGTGATGTTGAAAACATTTAACCACCGGTACACAGGCACACAGCCGGTCAGAATGGAGGCTGGCACTACACTGCAGTCCCGTGTTCTGCCACTGGGAATGGAAAGCAAGGAAACTCCTGGGAGCTCAACACACCGCAGCTGTTCTATTCTAAGCTTTATGTGTCTGGGTCATAACAAGTGTTAATGTTACTTGTTATTATTATTTTTTAATATATCTTTATTGATTTCAGAGAGAGGAAGGGAGAGGGGGAGAGAGATAGAAACATCAATGATGAGAGAGTCATTGATCAGCTGCCTCCTGCACGCCCCCGACTGGGGATCGAGCCTGCAACCCGGGCATATGCCCTGACCTCGAACTGTGACCTCCTGGATCCTAGGTTGATGCTCAACTGCTGAGCCACACTGGGTTCCTCCAGCCCTTTTAGGCTTGTGCCTAAGCATCTATGTCGCTTTCTGCTTATAATACTCAGAATGGTTTCCAGTTCCTATTTGAATCCTAACTGATACGGTCAGAACAGGAAGGTTGAGAACTCCAAGGATGGATGTTAGACAGAAAGGTTTCTCAGAAAGCCCTTCTATTCTAGTCTTAGGATAACATTAAGTAACAACTAGATGTTACTCACTCTGGCTTCTGACCCCTTAACTGGAACTGTCTCAGAGGTATGAGCACAGAGGTGTGTGACAACCCTGTGTGTTGTCACGGAAGCAGCGCACAGACAGGTCCGTCCATGACCGAGTGTCACGGCTTTCCTTCCTTAAACTACCTGCCTCTCTTTCACACCTAAGAAGACCGACGACAATGACATCATCTTACAACTCTGCTCTTCTCACCTGGGGCACGGCCAGGCCAGGCAGGAGGGCTATACATAGTAACCAGCGTGCAAGCATCTCGACATACAACGAAAGATACAAAGGCTAAGGGGCGCCGCGGCTTGCTTCTGTGCTCTCAGCGGTGATAACCTGACCCAGGAGTGGCACAGCCTCCACCTTCCCATCCCCAGTGACAGTTCTGTAAACCTGTGTGCTCACAGACGCAGGCAGCACTAACACATGGCAAAATGCCAAGGAAGCCCCAACCCATTCCCGGAGAACGACAGGGCTGATTCCCCATAGATACCTTAGCACCTTAGCAGTCTCGGTCCACTCCTTCTGCAGACTTTCCCAGGTATCCACTTCCACCCAGCTGGAATCCTTGGTGGCAAGCTGAGCCATGATTACTCGGTGATGGGCAGAGATGAGTCCCTTCTTCTTATACGCGTCACCGACAGGAGAAATTATGCCTTTGATAACTCTGTATTTTCCTGGATAAAGAGTTAGGTTTGATATGAGGTTTAACAAATTAGATTTTATGCACAGGAAATATTAGCATCGATATGATTTTATAATCAAAGATTCTCTTTTTCTTTAAACAGGGATTCAGGTTCATTCATTCATAACTGTGGTAAAACAGACATAACCTAGAACTGCCTTGTAAAACATCGTAATCAAGTTGTACTGTCCACCTATAGTGTAAAAAGCGCCCATTTCTCCCCAACCTCTGACAGTTGACACTATCAAGTTTAAAAACTTGTGCCCATGTGATGGGAAGAATATACCTCATTTTTAATTTTAGTTTCCTGATTATTAGTGAGTGTGAGCACCCATCCACCTATCTATTAGCATATAGCACGATCATTTACGTAACAAAATAACTCTTGCCTATTTAGGGAAGGAAAAAGTTTGCCTCGACCCTCTTAGGGTCCCTGGCTGGGTCTGAAAATTAAACTAAGAAAGATAGATAGACTAATAGGAGGAGAGCATACATATTTGTTTAAAGTATGGTTTACATGATGTGGGAGCCTTCATAAGGAAATGAAGACCCCAGGAAACAGGTGGACCTGAGGGTTTTAATGCCAGGTTTGATAGAGAGCAGATGGCTGTGGAACAACAGGGTAAGGAAAGGGGTATAAGGTAAGTGCAGTGACTTCAGGGAAACTAAGGGCCTTTATTCAGATTCTTCCTGGCACCCCTTGCTTTTCAGGAATAAGGATGCTCCTTTCCCCTGGGAGTAGGGAGGGCACCTCTCATGTAGGGTTTTGTGACCTGTTTCAGGGGAGGAGGTGAGAGTAACCTTCCTGATTCTGCAGGTTGCTCAAACTCCTTCAGCTTAAAATACCCAATATGCCATGGAGCCAGAGTTAGGGACAGTGTGTCCTGAACCCCACTGGTGTTTTTGGTTACTGTTCCTACCTGTTGCGTTCATGTAGTCCTTGGCCAGCTCAAACAACCTGAGGTGCATGTTGGTGATGGGATTAAAGGAACCACAGGCAAGGAGAACCACTTCTGTCTTCTCTGAATTTTCCATGCTGAGGATCTGAAGTTGCTGATCTAAGTGGGATGCTCCGACACCTCCCTTGTTGTCTGCAAAGGAGGAAGAAGACCAGTTATAGGTCTTTTGACAACCTTTCATGTTCTCATTCCAAATAGATGGGTTGAAATATTTGGCTTCGCTGACTATACCCCATGAATTGTAAAAATGGCCCCATTTCTCCACCATTCCTTTTCAACGTGAATTTGCAGCTCCTACCGTAAAGGATGGGGATCTCCTTCCCACTCTTTGTGACTTGCCTTGGCCAAAAGAATGTGGCAGACGCGACAGTATGCCAGTTGGGGCTTTGTACACGTACGTCCACTTTTTTTTGGATTCCTGCCTCTGCCTGAGACAGGCCCAGGCCAGCCTGCTGGAGGATGACAGAGCGTGCGGAGAGAATCGGTGCTCCTGCTGACAGCCGGCCCACCGCGAGCTATGTGGTTGAGGCCATCGAAGACCAGCCAAACCACAACCGGCTCAGACACAAGAGCAAGTCCAGGTGAGATGGGCTGGGCCTGGCTTGGATCAGCAAACCCACAGCTGACCTAGACTCATGAGCAAAAACAAATGTTCACTCTTGCATGCTACCGCAGTTTTGTGATTGCACTGCTGTGGCCACAGTTAACTGGCACAATGACATTATCCTCTGCCAGACGTGACTCCCCAGGAACTGTATTCTGCCTCTAAGTCAACATAATCATATTATCATTTTTGGTTGAATAACAGTTTACAGTTTATAAACTTCTTTTTCATATAAATGATTCCATTTGATCTTTGCATAAACCTAGTGAAGTAATGCAAGACATGCTATCTAAAACTTTTATTAAATGACTATAGATTTAGAAATCACAGGGTGACAGTCATCGACCATACCCTGCTCACCAGCCCCTCCACCCAGCTCCCAAAAAGCAACCACTCTTAACTTTTTCAGCTATTTCTTTTGGTAGATTCTACCATAATTCTGTATTATGTGCTTTTAATGCTATTCCTTAATTTATTCAATGTAAACAGTGCCTACTTACTTTCTCTTATGATCTGTGAGGATTAGCCCTCAGATACCCCTACCCTCCTCTCCCAAACTTCCACACACACACACAATCGCACACAGTTTATCTCTAGTCTCTGTTGAAAATCATCTTCTCCCAGAATTCTGAAGGCACTGCTTCTAGATGGCAGTGCCAACCGTGGAAAATCCAGTCACTTTCAACTCTGGATCCTTTAGGTGTGATGTTTATTTTCTCTCTTGAAGCTTGTGAGATCTCTTTGTCCCAGTGTTCTGAAATTTCAGTGATGTCCTCTAGTGTGGTTCCACTTTCATCCATTGTGCTGGACACTGAGTTGGCCCTTTCGAGCTCAAAAGTCACAACCTTCAGTTCTGAAACACGTCCGTGAATTGTCTCACGCATGATCTTCTGCCTCCCATTGGAAATGCCTATTATTTAGAGTGGAGGGGTTGGGTTCAACTGGAGCTGGGTGTCAATTCCAGCCCCACCCATCTCAAGTTTCAGGTGCCATTCCCCAAGGGAGGCTGAACTGTGAGCTGGAAGAACAGTGAGGCTGAGATCAGGAGGGACTGGTTCCCAAGGGAGCTGCCTGCTGTCCAGGCAAGGATGGAACAAAGAGCTTGAAGCCCCTCCCTGACCCTGGGGGTGAGCTCAGGTTTCCAGGTGCTCCCCAGGGGAAGGGTTGGGGAAGGGGCTGAGGAAGCTGATCTCTCAGCTTAAAGAAAGCTTTCTCCCTTGTCACATTCATGACCTGTCTCAAATATCTAGCTCAGTCCTATTAATTCACTGTGAGTACAACCAACCTGGGTTTGGACTAAACTTTAGACCCTCAAAACCACAGAAGACTTAAGTTACAGTGAGCTCCTATCATAGCCCAGAGAGGCTTCAGAAAAACAAGGACCAGCCCCTCTCCACTGGAGAATACTTGCTCTGCATCTCCCTGGGGTACGTGTGCAGGGAAGGGGGCTGGGGCAGGTGACGATGGGTGAGGTGGTTGGAGAGCTCTAACAGGACTGCTCTGCATCTTCCTTGTCCTGCTCCAGGTGCTTGAGGACAGGTGTCACCATGATTCACTTCTGCCTGGCCCACTCAGCCTACCATGTGCACTGCTGGCTGCCGAGGTCTCACCAGCTCAGGCTGTAAGTGTCCCTCCCCAGCCCACCGTGACAAAAGTCATTTCTGTCTGAGGCGGTCTTGACGTGTAACTAAAATGTGCTTTCAATTTTCAAGTTCAATTTCACTGACCTTCTTAGGTTTTAAAAACACTGATGTGTAAACAGTAATAAAACATTTTCTAAACATTAAGACAGTTTGTCAAACATTAACTTTTCCAGGAAGAACAATAATTGTGTGGCTTTGCTTGTCACATTTCAGGATGCTACATTAGCTGGCTTAAATAATGGGAATGCCTTGACAATCTCTAGAATTCATACCTCTGTTCCTTTTAAAACAGTAACTTTAAGCAGGTAGCCATATTCTAGTTCTAACAAGTTGCCACTGCTTTAGATAATCTGGGGTATATTTTGAAATTGCCTATTTTTTTTTAGTACCTTTATTGGGGATATATCTTTGTCTTTGATTTCTATAAATACCCTAACCTCATTCAGGGCTAAACCCAATTAATAAAATAATCAAAGTGACTAAGAGAGTTTATGATGAAGAGATAAAACTATTAGTTAAGGAAGATTTTTTTATGCATGGAAACTAGATACACGTAATCTCAAAAGAATTTCCCAAATGTCTGAGCAGTAATAGCGGACTTGGTGGTTAAGTTGTGGTTGGTAGATTAACCCTCAGTGTGTAAGTGATACTCAGTGTGAACATCTGGCTGAAGGCAGAGCTAACACTCACAGGGACATGGTTAGGACTCTCAGACCTGGTTCAAATTCTAGCTCTACCTCTTACTACGAGGTGTCTGTCCTTGGACAAGACACTTAATCTGAGTCTCGGTTTCCTCATCTGTAAAATGGGGAACCACAGTTCCTACACCTCATAGGACTTGTGCACATGAAGTGAGAAAAATGCATATAAAATGTTGGACACATTTGTCTACTAATTATAAATATTAACAACTCATGTGCTTACTTGTGGATTGCCTTTGAGCATTCATTTAGTCATGATAAAGGAACCAAGGCTCTAAAGAGTCTTTAGGGACCAGTTTCGACAGTGCCTGTGGCATCACAGGAGCTGAATAATCGTAGCTACTTCTAGTACTCTTACTGGCGTATTCTCGGGCACAATTCAGCTCTAAGGGGATGGATCTCAACCCATCTTTGCTCTGTTGAAAATTTTACTTCTGTGGCTTAATGTTACATCGTCCTGAAACAGAACCCGGCTTTGGCTTCTTGAAGCCATTTCATCGCTGAACAGTAACATAAAATGTAACTCACTGTGTCCCATGCAGCCGAGTGACAGTGCTCTTGTCTGGGGTCACCACCCTGGCTCTCCAGTTTTACGTTCTGCTACGGTAAGTTCTTTCATCAGCTGAGCCCTCGCCTGGGCACGTCTGTGTCTCCCCTGTGGGGGTGGTTCGGGTGCTCTCTGCGATTCCTGTCACCTGTTTGACTGCAGCCTGCCCCATTGTGTTTGCCCCTATTATCGAAGGCAGTCACCCGCTTCCCCTCTTTGAACAGTCAAAAATCTCCATACAGGGAGGATAACTGGGTTTGGGCAGACTGAGTTTCATTTCTAACCAATACTTATTTCTTCTAGTATAAGAAGAGACAACGGGGGCACGGATGTTTCAGTTTAAGTGCTCCCTAGAGAGCAGGCCCAATAGCTTAGTATTAGCTAATGTCTGCGGGGCTGAGGGCGACACAGGCACACGCGCCCAGATGACGGCTTGGTATCTTACTCAGATTCTACGCTGGAAATTAGTCCTGGCAGAAAAAGTCAGTCGGTTAACTTTCCTATCGAGCAAAGGAAGCGAATGCAACTTGGTACATTCAAAATAAGAAAATCGCAGTCCTACGGGCACTGATATTTTAAAAGTACCTAAAAACTGAGAAGCCACTTACGCAATGGACTGCGACACCCGCTGTCACTGGCCGACCTCAGACCTGCTGGCCTCTGTCATAAGGAGGCCTGTGTGCAGTAAAGCACAGTTCCTTACTCAGGGAGGCCAGGATTTCCACAGAATATTTTTCACCAAAACAGCAAATTAACATGAACTAGGAAAATGGCAAACTTGATTTGTCTCCGATTATGAATATTAACAGCTCTGAATATTGTGGGCTGTTTCACAGCACTAATTTGCAGCCACACTGAAGGAACCAAGGTTCTTAAGAGAAGCGGGTTGCCTGGAGCCAAATGAACCGAGTGCCAGGTTAGGATGGGAACGCAAGATTCGCAGTGCCTTCTGGTGTTATGCTTAGAGAGGGTCTCTTCTAATAAGGAAGGAAGGAATGTATAACCCAGCGGGTTGATTTTCAGGCCCAGTTCTTCTCGGTACTGCAGTCAGCCTCTCCTTAACAACTTGGTTGCTAACATCGCCTTTACTTTCTTCGCATTTGGTAAGTGTGCAGTCACTCTGCCAGAACTTATTAAGTGTCAACTAAATGGGTAAGATAGGACTTCCTGTTTTCAGGAGCTCACGGACTGAAAGGTAAGAAAAAATTCACATTTAAAATTCAGGTGAAGGAAATTTTTAAAGCTTCTTAGTCACTCTTTTAGTTGTTCTGTGATTTGAATATGAAACCACATTAAATTTAAATTCAAATACGTTGTGTCCCTGTTATAAATTTCTTTACGGTTACATAAAAATAGCAGATGTATTCGCTCACTCAACAAATAGTTACTGAGCTGGACATGATATGGACAGAAAAACAGGAACCTTGACAACGTGAAGCCAAAAAGTGATACAGAAGAGGTTTTTTAAAAATTGATTTTAGACAGGGAGTAAGGGAGGGAGAGAGAGAAACATCAATGTGAGATGTTGCCTCCTGTGAGCACCCTGACAGGGGGCTGGAACCTGCAACCTAGGCATGTGCCCCAACTGAGAATCTAACCTTCGACCTTCCAGTGCATGGGCTACACGCCAACCAACT